CGCCGCCACAGCCCGGCGTGCTCTTCTTCGCCGATGATGACAACACCTATAGCCTGGAGCTCTTCGAGGAGGTAGCTGGGGAAGGGGGGCGGGGCTGGGGCACCCACTGACCCGCCACAGCCACGCATCCTGCATGCGCCTCCGCTCGCCCCGGAGCCTGGCACACCCTGCCCTACGCCCGTTTGCAGCCAGTCCAGAGTCCTGCATCCTGCCGCTCACCCTGCTGGCCGGTGCAGCGCACCGGCACCTCCACCAGGTGCGGAAACAGACCTTGCATCGGCCCACAGACACAGTTTTATGCACTATGCATGCAGTTTCAGCAGCTCGAGATCTCCAGTACACCTACAACTCAGTTTCGGGCACACTATATGGCACCTTACCCCAAACTCATACACAGCACTTCAAAATTCTGCACAAATCTTTACATTTTCCTGTCTCCCAGACTACTGCATCCTGCATGCATTCAGAGTACCAATGTGCTGCTCCTTCTACCATTACCTTAGTCTCAATTCTGCCTTTCAGAAACTGTTCCCTTTTTTTCTTTCCTACATCCAGCAGCATTCACTATTGCTGTTTTTTTCATTCTGTTGCTGAGATATGCAGAGTGGGAGATTATATAATGACTTCACTGTGTCTCTGTTAAAACTGGGATAAAAGGGACACCAATGTCTTTGATTTCTTCATTTCTGGTTGTGCCTCTTTCTTTTGCCCTGGAGGGGAAACTCACATCATGAATCGTGGTGCTTTATAATTTAACTTGCAGTGAATTATTTTGCTTGGAATTGCCCACTCTTTTTGAAACCTGACAATGTTAACAGCAGAAAATCGTTTACAAAAAGACTACATATCTTTTCAGGAGTCTCAGTTGTAAGGGGATGTGCTTTGTCTTCATTCCAGCCGCTCTGTGAAGTGCTTGCTCCCTTTCTGTGGGATTTGGCAAGTGCATAGGGATGAGGTTATCCAGCTCTCCGATTTCCCACTGGCAGAAAGGAAGGCAAGCAGTTTAATAAGTGGACATAAAACAGCAGACGAAAGATCATGTATCTTTGACAGATAAAAGAGTAACCTTAAGGGGATGTGCTTTGTCTTCATTCCAGCCGCTCTGTGAAGTGCTTGCTCCCTTTCTGTGGGATTTGGCAAGTGCATAGGGATGAGGTTATCCAGCTCTCCGATTTCCCACTGGCAGAAAGGAAGGCAAGCAGTTTAATAAGTGGACATAAAACAGCAGACGAAAGATCATGTATCTTTGACAGATAAAAGAGTAACCTTGGCAGAATGTGCAGGAGTTGAAAGATTGAAATCCGCATTCTTCACTACTTAATGGTATGAACCTAGCAATGTATGATAGTATCCTGTATTTAACTAATACCTTACATTCATGGGTGATTTACAGTAAGACTAGAGGAAAAACACCGTATACAAAGATGCTTAGCACATAAAGTGCCTAGTGGGAGGTGTTTCAGAAATGATGGTGGACAGAATTGATTAGTGTTGATTTTCAAAATTTGTTCACTTCCCTCTTCAGTATGTTGTCGGGTGCATTTAGCAGAGCTGCTCAATTCCTTTTCCAACTCTGAAGCTCGTAATTTGAAGACCTTACACTAGAAATGCCATATTCTTTTTTTCTGAATTTAAATTATTTTTCTAACTATCCCTACTTCCCCATCAATGCAAATGAATTCTATGTCTTCATCTTGTATAATGATGTCTGTTGCGTTCTAATGGAATTCAGTGCTGGTGTGGTTCATTTCAATGGAGGCTACAATCCAGTCCAGAAAATATGTCCCACTCCCAGCAGTTTAACAAGGGCAAGTGTTGGCTGGACACAAATCGTTTCTATAACCGATACAGAAAAAAGGAAACACTGAGTGAAATGAAGGTGCACACCAGTTGAGTAAATGTTAAGAGGAGATGGCCCAAGTCAGTTTGAATCTTTTTTTATTCCCTACTCCTTTGCTTCTAATTTCTGAGGATGATTAAATTAAAAAGGTACAATTTAGCTTCCTACAGTGCTGGCTGTGAATGCAGGAACAGAAAGGCTGGATGAACCTGTAGGGTTAACACTGAAGATTGTAGGCACAACAGGCAATCCATGTTCAATTATTTCTCTTTGCTAACAGGAATAAACAATTCTAAACCTTCTTTCAACATGGTTCAGTGCTAAGAAAGAAATGTTTGCTTTGAACAGCTCCATGTTCACAGGGAAACACATTTGCAAGTGAAGCTTTTGTTGTGAGATGCAGTAGTAGAAACAAAACAGATCCACTTCAATGAGATTTCAGTCTTCAAATATCGATGGAACAACCCCTTTCTGTTTTCCGTGAAGCACGGATGGGCTTTCTCTGGGACATGGCATGGGGGAAGTGCTGCTCAACTGGAACACAAATAATCCCCTCCCCCCATATTGATTTGATGCTCTCTGTTCAAGCAAGTAAAATCCTTTGCAAATGAGCCTTTGCAAATGCCACAAGCAGAGTGTGCCTTTTTGGTGAGAAGGTGAATCACATAAATCTTGTTTTCAGTCATGACATTGGTCAGATTTTTGTTGCTCACTGAAAAGCCTTCCTGATTTTCATTGGAAAACCTACACTATTTTAATAGATTCTGACTTGACACTTGTAAAATAAATCTCCATCACTCCTTTGGGATTTGATTCATTGAGTGTAAATTTTGATCCTCTTCTCCAAGCATGAAGTGGCCAGCCTTGGAATACATCACATGTGGCAGAAATCCTGTAGTAATTCCCTTCATGAAAATGGCTTAATGAGTTGTGAGAGGGAATTTGTTAATGCTTAATGCTGTTTCCCAGCCTTCCAGCAGCAACTCTTTTGAATGGTGGTTGCTGAATTTCTAATTCCACAGGAAATCTTATTTATGATATACTGTAGATGGGAGAAGGCATTGGTATAAACATGGGACTGGAATGCAGAAATTCCTGAATTATAGTCCTGCCTCAAGCACAGACACTGTGATCTTTGAACAAGTCACAGAAGGTGACTATGTAAGATTGCCATCTTATTAAATAGATCTTGTGTGTGTGTGTGTGTGTGTGTGTGTGTGTGTGTGTGCGCGCGCATGCGCATGCGTGTGTTCCTAGTCAGAGTTGCTGATTTTAGTGACAAAAATAGGGATGTTTTGGTAATGTTTTTGACTCATATTTTTTGTGGCCTTTTTTCGAAAAAACTTCCCTTGCGTCTAGACTGCTGCTGCGTTCTTTCGAAAGTAAATGGAAAGAACGCAGCAGTTTTCTCTTTTGAAAAAAGGCGCTATGTAATGCAAACTGCTTTTTTGAAAGAGAGCATCCAGACTGTCTTGAGTGCTCTTTCGAAAAAGCGGCTTGCTTTTTCGAAAGTCTTGGCTGTAGTCTAGACGCTCTTTTTCGAAAGAAGCTTTTTTGAAAGATACTTCCGAAAAAGCCTCTTTTGAAAGAGACTTGCAGTCTAGACATAGCCCTAGTGTAAAAGTTTGCATTAGTATAGCTCCACTGCTGCAAATGTCTCTAATGTGCCTAAAAAAGAATGTGAGCCTCTCTAATGATGCACCAGAAGCAGCTGTGTTACTACAGGTTGGGCTTCCCTAATCTAGCACCCTCGGAGCCTGACTGGTCCCGGATGAGGGATTTTTGTGGACCAGGGGAGGTCATTTCTGGCCTCCCTGTTGCTGGCCTCATTGCCTGCCCTGCCACCCATCCTGGTTTTCTGGCTCTTCTGAAACCCCAGCTGGGTTGTACTCCAGACTTCCTGCTCCTCCTCCTGCTCCCCCAGCCAAGCTGGGCCACACACTGGCCTTTCCAGCTTCGCCTGCCCCCCACCCAGGTGAGCCACATGCTGGCTTTCCAGGCTCCCTCTGAAGCCCAGCTGAGCTACGTGCCAGGCTCCATGGTTCCCCTGGACAGCTCAGTTGGGTTGCCTGTGCTGGGCTTCTCACACACTCGCTCCCCATGGCTCCCCCACTCACCTAGCCCAGCGGACCCGCCATCTGGCTCCCGCTCCCCCCCAGCCCAGCTGAGAATGCGCCCCTCCCCCCACATCACATCAGGCTCCCGGCTCACCCACTCCCCACAGGACGCTGGGAGACTTGGGACCACAGATGTTGCCGGACCAGAGAGTCCCAGTTTATGGAGGTGCAACCTATAGTAAAAGTGGACAGAAGGGAACACACTTCAGCCTTGAAATGTCGGGTTGTTTGCATAGAGATGTCAGTTTGAAAAATCTAAACTTCCTTTTATAATGTGTGCTTCATACCCATATTAGAAACTCACCAGCTTTATTTTAAATGGTGAAATGTTAAATATTAAAGCTAGTCAAAAGCAACTGTTTCACTTTATAATTAAATTTAGGGAAAAAAACATTAACAGCTATAGTAAACTTGGAACCCCACCATGCTCTTTGTACTGTAGCCTACACACTTGCCTGCTTCTCCTGGGTGGTATGGAGTTTAATTTGTTAATAGCCAGAAGTGTGCTCTCCTGTTCCAGTTAAATGAGGTTGCTCCAAGCAGGTTTTAATTATAGTCTCTGAAGTGGTGCTGAGCATGGTTTGTCCTTAGCTACCCCTACAGCTCAACTTTACTCCCAGTTGGTTTCTCTGCATCCTATGTCAGGAGTGAGGGGTTTTTGTTTTTGTTTTAAATAATTTAGAGTATGCTTCTGTGAGAGGAGCAGTTGGCCTGGTTGGCCTGGTGTTTGGAGTGCTAAGTGGGATTATGACAATGGCTGAGAAATTGTTCTCTGAAATAAATTGAAGTCTGGGCTTTAGTTGCTCACAATTCCTTTCACTTTGGATATGACCTAGAAATATAGCTGTACACTTTAACTTTAATTCAGACAGCTATGTCAGTATTATGTCTAGTTACTTTCATAACCTAGAGACTTAGAAGCTGATTGATTCTCTAACACAGGCTTGGACCACTGACCTGCAGACCCATCTCCATGAAAAGCAATAACCCCTGTTCTGGAAATGTATTTGATAATTTGTTCAGGCAAGATACCCAACAATAAATTAATTTTCAAGGCAGAGCCAGTGGAAGGACTAAAAGCAACTTACATTTATTTCATGAATTTATTGAGATT